CTCTCTTTTGTTCACCATAAAATTTTCTCAGAGAGAAAGTATGAATATCAGTAACTCTCGAAATAGAAATGACGGCTTTCAGATTATTTCATAAACAGTAAATTCTTTTTCAACAGGATGAGAAATCACCACTTTAAAACTTTAACCTGCCAACAGGTTCACGCAGTTAAAGCCTAGTGGGGGACAGATACAAATCATGAGTGTGAGAGTGTCTTAATATGTTCCTTGTCTTTGATTTTCCTATTCCTATTCCAAGTAAGATAAAATGGAGTATTTTTTTTAGTATTGCATGCAACTGGTTGTGTGAAAGATGAAGGGGGCGGGGTGGGGGGAAGGGAGAGAGAGGTGTGAATCGGGTTTAAAACCCATATTGTCTCACAGAACAGACAGCAAAGCAGTAGAGTGAGATACGTGCACTTGCAGATGTACTATGTAATCTGCTGACTCTGTAAGTATAGAAAAAGCACATTTTAGGAAAAAAAGCTTTATACCGAACTTCCTCATGATATTTTATTGCCAACTTGTCAATGGCTATTTTTAGTTATATAGGGCCAAATCGCTTTAGCTTTACTTGATCAAAAGTAGCGGAGTTCCCTCAGACACAAACACAGTCTCATATGTCTCTATTTGCAAATCATTTACAGATGTGAATAGGCATGTCTGCAGCTCTTTGTTTACATTAAAAAAATTTCTGTACTTAAAGTAAAATAACTTAGCTCTAAATATTGTTGTTTATTAGTTTATTTATCTAAGCAACGAGTTTGCAGTAATTGGTCCAAATTCACCATTATACATAGATAGAGATAATGTTGGCTTGAACAAGTGAAGCTGAGGTGTCAGTCTTTACTAGCTAAAGCAAGTTCCAGCTGGAACATTCTCCTTTTTCCAAGAGTTTACATCATCATGAAGAGGCTTGTGTAACTCCTCAGAGCACACAAAAAATGAGGAAAAAAAAGAAAATAAAAACCCTCAGTATTCTCTGTGAAAAATTGCATCTGTTTGGCATCGTCTTTTACAATACAAACACCCACACTAACGTGAATTTTAACATTTAAATACTTGGGGTTCTCATGCAGAATCTTTTAACGCACTCTTTCAAAGAGTGGAGTAATCACAAAGCTGCTAATTACTAGGCTTTAGAAATTTGTATAACTGTAAATTTGGTCATCATGTGTTCTTCATTACATATGTAAAAAAAATTGTAACAAGGGGAATGGATAGGGGAAGAAGTGTGAATATTTTTAAAACAATGAGTGTTGGGATATATTAATTTTTAGATATTCAACTTGTGACAGCCTAAAATCGTAATTGTTAAAAAGTTCTGAGCTCTTGCAACACATTCAAGTTTCCTTAAATATGACTTTATCACAAGCAGTTTATTTAAAAATAATTACTCCCTGGCGTATCAACTTTTTTTTTAACTTCTAGTGACTGAGTGTTCCTTTGGCAATATATATCGTAAGTGCATCAAGGAAAAATGCTGCCAGTATTTCAGATGATGTGCAAAATGGTTCTTCGCAATAAAAGTATCTTCTAAAAACTGGGTGACTTCAAGTGGGCAATGTTGTTGGGTTTTTCTGGTGCAACACTGATCCTTTGTTTAGCAAGGTTCTTATTAAAAGAGGACATTTTATTGAACCAGTCACTGGAAGTGTAAACATATAGAAGGGGGAAGTTTCTACATATCATCTCCACACAGCAGCACACGTCAGTGCTAGGTGTGCTGCAGTTTACATAACACATAGCAATGATACAGGTGTTCAACAGTAAGCACTGCTTTGTGTTAGGCACCTTGGCTGAACACATTTTCCCAGTTACTTGGACTGGAGAAGATGATGCTCTAGCTCTCTATTGGATCAGGGATCTCACTATAGGATTACTTCATTAGGCCTGGCTCATGGTGGGCTTTACAGTAACATAGGTTCGCACAGCTCAGATCTCAAAAGGGACCCAGGAGCATTTTCTCATTCTGTTCACACCTCGCCCCGCTGCAGTAACTAGTCGCTGCAGTTCATGAGACACACTCATTTCTGCACGTATTGCCATCATGTCTTTGGGCGTATCCAGGATGACATTTGCACACAAATGACTCTTCCATGTTAACACATGCGTGTTCACGGTCTTGCTGACCTAAAGCACAGAAGTTTACTTCTCTGAAGACAAAACCAGTGAAGAATTCAAGCCAGCCATGAAGTAAACGGCTTAGAAAAACTCTCTTTTCTTAAATGATACTGGATTCTGTGCTTTGGACACTGTTAAAGTTGACAGTGAGCTGAGGATCTGAGAGTGGATTGCAAATACGTGGCTACGCAAGACTTCACTTTGACTCCCTCAGTCATCAGAAGTAACGCATTGTGGTGAAGGAGGAATGCCTGGTGCTGGTCACCAGTGATGCGTTCTCCCTGATTTATAAAGAGGGCATATATGCAAATGTTCTAGTTTATTTTAAAAGCTTGTCTAACATAAGCCAAGTTATAACAAGTTTTGGAATCAGAGCTTAATCCTGGAAACGTCACCACGTTTACAGACAAATCCAAAGCCCCCTAAGGTTAAGGAAAAATACTCCAAAAGGGAATCACAATTAGCCTTTAATTCGCAATTACATCCTTGGCAATAAACATTCTACACAATGCTGTTCTTTTGTTCCTATACTCCCCAAGGCACATCCAATCTATAAAAACCTGAATGTATCAAAATACCATTAGATAATAAAAAACAGAATAGCATGGATTGCTGTAAAAATGGCAGTGTGTAGACAAAGATGCCTCATGAAAACACATCTTTAAGACTGAAGGAAGATATAGCTCCAAAACTAGACACATTTTATGAGTGTCTAGAAATATAATTATGTTGCTCCAGGCAAGCTTCTATTCATAAAATATCACTAGTATAGTTCTCCCGCTCAAGAACTGAGTCACCAGATCAGGCTAGTTCATTTTACTGAATATACTCTCCTTACACTTTAACAACATTGCACTGAAAATCTGCTGTGATTCCAGGCTCCCACTCAAGAAGAGCTGTAAACACAAAAGTCTTTTTAAAGTAAATAGTATGTGTGATTGGTTTAGAAACCTGACATTGCTGAGGCTGTTTTTACAATTTTTGCAGGAAACTGGGGGGTTTCATGTGTGACTTTAAGTTGATTTTAGCAACTATGCTACCTATCCAGTACTTTCCCAAACTAGTGAAATACATCTATCTTTGGCTATACCAACCAGGCAAAGCAAGGTGATTTTTTTTTTTTTTAAAAGCTGTTTGTGTCACTAGAAGACAAGGTCAGAAAGTTTCAAATAAGTAAATGAACTTCTGTTTTTTGAGCCACTCTGGTTCCTATATAACACCTCAGGTTTCCATAAATCTCTTCAGAAAACGTCTAATATAGAATCTAGCCTACAGAACAGCAAACTGTATTTTTTCAGCATGACTGGCTCAGTTAAAATTCAAGTTTATAACGAAACATTTGTTTCAACATTACAGAGAAAACTGTCATCCTCTCAGAAGGGAAACCATTCACAGCAGGTTGAAGAAATAAAAGCAGATGAACTTTACTATGTCCAAAGGATTACTCACTTTTGCATGTTTTCTTATCTGGATTAAGTCTAAACCCTTCTTGGCATCGACAAAAATAGGAATCATCTGTATTAACACATTCTTGTTCACAGCCATGGTCCTGAAGAGCACAATAGTCCGGTCCTAAAAGGGAAAAAATTGTGTCAGGGACGAATATAAATCTTCAGAAATAAGTTAGGTAAAAAACAACTAATTTTTTTATTTTCTTTAGCCCTTTTTTTTCTAGGCACCATTCTGACTTTTTACCATAGTGTTTCAAATGATGAAAATAAAATATTCCTTTTTTCCAAATATCTGCTATACTTAGGTACACCTGATATGTATACTTCAATGAATTCTTTGAGAACACATGTACTACACACAGTAGAGAAGTTAGAATTGTAAATATTTCTTAACATTTTGCAGCTAAGTCCTATACATTGCCTCATCGAAATTGCCTCTTTATTTTACTCAGAGCAAGTTAGATATGATCTGTAATAAATACACAAACATGCTTTTGAATGCCGTTCATCATACAAAGCAAGACAATCAGGTGACAATCAGGTCACCAGAAGCACTGGTGTTTTAACGGCTCTGGGTGTTTGCTACGTAGTTCTTCCATTTAAAATGCTCATGAAAGGGAAGATGAGCAAAGTCTAGAAACAGCTACTGCTTGTGTGCTAAGTACTTTAAAGAGGAAAGTAACTGTGCAGTAAGCACTCGGATATTTACCACGTAGTGTTTACCACTACCGATGAAGCCAAAGAACCCAGCGTTCACTTAGATGCAGTGTGTGGCCAACACTTAGCTTTGTATCAGGGGAGTTAATTAATTTATACTAGTGAAAGAATAGTCTTAACTCCTCAGCACTGCTAAAAATAAGTCACGAATGAAGTCAGTCACATTTTAAAGACATCCAGACACTTCTGAACTCCTCATTACACAACCTGAAAACTGACATTCAGAGGTTAATTATTATTCCCAGAGGTAACTGGCTTCCTGAGGCAGGAACTGTTCTTTCCTTGTACGTGTGGCGGGCTAATGCAATTGAGCCTTTATTCATGATGAAAGTCCTCAGCAATAATAAACCACCTGAATTTTCAGGTCAAACAAAGTGGAATGTGACTTTCTAAGAAAACTGATTCTGAGATGACTACAGGAGTTGAAAAAAATGCATTATTATCTTTGTTGGAACCTTGAGGCTTTTATGTTGGGAACACTAAAATACATTTCACAAGGCTTCATTAACACAGTCCAGATTAAAGATGCTAACAGAAGGCTTCTACCAGCTACAGCTCATGTGAACCCACCCACAACCCAAACAGAGGCCTTCCCTAAAGAACAACAGTTGAGATTCAGCACCCCTGAGTACAAGCAGAAACTGTCATTTGTCCTCTTGAGGGGAGCAGCGAAAGTCCTCTTAATAGTTAACTTAGTAGCTAGGAATGACCTCTACCTGCCTCACTGATCATCTGAATTGGCTGCTCTCTTCCAGCCACATGTAGACTACTTTGCTGGCGGGGTTGACCTCATGAGCCGCGTTCCTCGTATTTCATTCTAAGTCATCTGGAGTAACTCCCAGAGAAAACATTTGTCAGATATGCATGACAGTACTGATAACATTTACATTTTCAAGCTTTTCTTTGTAGCCATGAGCATGAAAGCTTACTTTCTATTTTTGAAAGGAAAGCCAGGATTCTGGGAAAACCGGGAGATCTCGGGAGCTGGCGCCCCAGGCTCAGGCCTGTTTGCTGATGCAGAGTTCTGGCCTGGTGTTGAGTGTGAGTCTTGGCTAGTTGGTGAACATCCTCGAGATTCAGTATGTAAGCCAAATATGTAGAAATTTATGTTAACAGTTTTAAATTTACAAACATTTTAAATCCATTTTTCTTCATGTTGTTTATGCTGACTCAAAGGCAGCGTGACTCATAACACATGGGAGCCAGGGGACACTTCTGCTCTGAAGAGCTCTCATGCTGTCTTGACTTTTGCAGCATTAAGAGCTACACGTTTTTTCACTCTTGCTTTATTTTATTAGCAAGCCTCAGAAGATACCAAGTGTAAGGAAAAGTGGCTTAGTGAGTTTTATTTATGCTTAGATTCAGGACATGTATCTTGAAAGAGAATGATATGACATAGTATTTGCTCATTTCTCCCTGACTACTCCTTCTGAATCAATCTCTATGGCCTACCATGTCCAGTCACTTTGTTTTTTCCTTAATTGCAACCTGATGGAATTTTGTCCTTTAATTTTAAACTAATTTAAAGCATTTATAACAAAACAGAATGCAGTTAACATGGCAGAGACGCACAGAGCTGTGAGAAGCCTTGTCTGTAGCCTCTGTACCTTGGCTTGGGAGATGCGTTTAATGTCAGGCTTTCACCCTTGGTTCTTGCCTGAGCTATGTTACGGGTATGTCTGTGCCTAGCCTTGTGTTTTGCTGATCCTAACCTGCAGATTGGCTGATTTGATTTCCTAATCGACCTTAGATCTCTCTTGACACTATGGACTTGTCTGGCAATCACTGGACTGTTGGCTGAGCCTGGTTACTGTCACAGGATCTGTTTTGTTCTTCTTCTGTGGGACCAAAGGCCTTGTCAGAGAGATTACTGACCCTTCTTGCCTCGCAGCCTGCCTTGGCTCCCGGTTTGTACTGCCCTGCAGAGAAATGCACTTTTGTTAAAGATCTCATGTTAAAGATTTTATGTTAAAGATCTCCTCCATTCCACAGAGATCCAACATGAAACCATAGATGTGCTGACTGAGAGTTTCTGGTCAAGATCAGAGGGGAAACGACACTGGGAATGTAGTGGTGGAGTCTGTTACCCTACCTGACCAATACGATGTAGTGAGTAAGGCTTTCTACAAACAGACAGCAAAAGTCTCCAACTCGTAGGCTTTTGTTCACATTGGAAACTTCAAACATCTAAACACCTACTGGGAGGGTAAGACAGCATTGTGCAGGAAGCTCAGGAGGTTTCTGCACAGGCTTAGTGACAACCCCCTAACACGAATTCTTGAGAGGTGATGTTCTTGACTTGCTGCTGTGACCATGAGATGACTGAGTTCACTATCCAGAAGGCTGCAAGGGGACACAGCAGAATTCAGACTCCATATTTTACAAGCTCTGATTTTAGCTTATTCAGGGAATTTCTAGGAAGAATCTCATGGGAAAGAGCCAAGAAGAGAAAGGATGCCCAGGAGAGCTAGATGATTTTTAAAGGAAACTTGCTAAGAGCTCAGGAAAAAATGATCCCATCGTACTGGAAAATCTGCTTAGAAGATGAAAGAGCTTCTCAGTGAACTAAAAAACAAAGAAGGAAAATAGCAGAGGGAGAAAAAAAGGAGTATAAAAGCATTGCTTAGGTACTTTGTAACAAAAACAAAGCCCAGCTGGACCTATGACTACTGAGGCACACTAAGGGTAATAAGAAGGGAGTCTACCAGTATGCTGGTAGCAAAACAAAAGTCACAGAAAACGTGGGTCTGTTGGCTGGGGGAACAACCTCGTGATGAACAATACGAAACAGCGGAAAAAAAATAATGCCTTTTTTATTCCTGGTTCTCAGAGACAAAGCCTGCTCTCAAATTTCCATGTGTACTAGCAGAGTTTGGGAAGGAGAGGGTCTAGCAACATCGGTTAGAGGCTACTTAGAGAAACTGGATATACACAGATCCATGGGATGACTGGTATTCACCTATGAGTGCTGAAAGAGTTATGTGATGTGACACTACTGTCTTTCATGTAGAAAAATTCACAAAGACTGAGAGATGTCCCTAGTAACTGAAAAGGTTAACATTACACTCATATTTAAAAAAAGGCAAGAAGAAAGACCCAGGGAACTACAGACCAATCTGCATAATTTCAGACCCAGGATCATGGGGCATATCCTCTCAGAATCAATTTCCAAATATATGAAGGACAAGAAGATTATGTGGAATAATCAACATGGATTCACCAAAGGCAAATCATGCCTGATGAACTTGTTCACCTTCACTGATGAAATGACTGCATCTGTGGACAAGGGAAGGTCAGTGCATGTAATACACCTTGGCACTAGTAAAGCTCTTGATGCTGCCTCCCGCAGCATTCTCATTTCAAAGCTGAGGAAGTATAAGATCGAAGAAAGAACTGTTAGGTGGGGTGACAATTTGCCAGGCCACCAGCATCAAAGGATAGTGATCAATGGCTTCATGTCTAGCTGGTTGCTGACAATGACGAGAGTACCACAGGGGACAGTACTGGGGGGTTACATTGCTAAACATCTTCATCATTGACATAGATGATGATACCAAGTGCACCCTCAGCAAATCTGGATTACACTAAATTAGGGACAGTGACTGAAAGCAAATGGCAGAACTTCAACACAGAGGAACACTGATAAACTTGACGATTGGATGAGAAGATGTCTTACGAAGTTCAGCAAGAAGAATTGCAAAGTTCTGCACCTGGGTTGGAAACACCCCACACTTTATACAGACTGGGAAGTGACCGGCTGTCAGGGAGCAGCACAGGTCAGCTGCTCCCTGAGGGAAGGAGAGCCAGGAGCCAAGGGTGGTAATACAGCTGAGCCAGGTAGGGGTCCCCAACAGGACCAACAGGTGTCTCAGCTCTGCGACCATATATGTATGTAGAAGTATATGTGGAAGTATAAGACAACTTAGTCAGCCCTTAGCTGCAGATACTTGACAAATGGGTGAGTTCATACAAGCTACAAGCAACATGAACCAGTATGAACTGTACTCTGGCCCTTGGAGAAGTGGGAAACTCATCTCCCCTGACTTTGGACATCTAAAAATCAGGTGTCTAGTCTGGGAAGTCATCCAGGCTACCTGCATAGCCAAGGGAAATACGGACACTTCCATAAAGTTTTGTCAAAGGTGTAAGCAATCACCTTCTAGAAGTGCATGTCTCT